GCATGCACAAATGAGAGAATGGGAGAGGAAAGAAATGAATTGCTCTCAGCTGGGTTGGGGGTGGGGGTATAAATAAAACTTTTAGTATCATATACCGTGTTGCTAAAAGGTTTCTCCCTAATTAGCTACATATTCCATGTTGCTAAACGTTTTCCCCTCTAATCAAGAATATATGTTGCTAAAACTTATTTAAATTTAAAAGGACATAAGTCATCACCAATGTGTGCCATATTATTGAAACTTCAAATTATCATTCTCACCCAGTATTTGATTCATATACTTAAAAAAATTCATTTCTATTTCTAAAATTTAATTTCTTAGTTGAATTTTCTTACTCTATTAAATATTACTTAACACTAAACACTTTAATTAATATAAATATATTATTACTCTTTATTTAAATGATTTAAATCTCTAATATGTCTAACAAAATAATGTGGATATATTTTTGAGTTTACAGAAATATATCATATAAAAATATAAAATATTTTTGCTTAAGAGTTGACTATTAAAAGTGAGAGTCGAATTTTTCTCATAAAAGTTGATTCTTCACATGAAGAGAAAATTGATTCTTCACATGAAGAGTCTACTATATCCCTCGTCTAGAACTTCAAATTTATAAAAGTAATTAATTTTAAATACAAACATAAATATAATTTTGTGAGGGATGAAAGAGACAAATTAAATTGAGAGAATAGGGAACAAATAGGACAAAAGTAGGTGTGAAAAATGTATATATAAAGGCCACTAGTGCTGGTCGGTCAAAGTGGTTATATCACTAATATATTCCTTGTTGCTGATTTTTGGTTGCTATTGGTTGCTAAAAATAAAGGAATAATAGCAACGTGGATTTTGTTGGTGATGTACAACATTAGCAACGTAATGTGTGTTGCTAATGCTTCAAGTGGATGGAAAATTACAGCAATATGTCTCTTGTTGTTAAAATTCACTTTCAGCAATATACTCCATGTTGCTAAAAGTGGGGCTCATTTTTAGGTGAAAATGTGCACTATACAATGACCGGGAAATTACAGCAACATATTCTTTGTTGGTGAAAATCTATATCACCGACAAGCACATCCATGTTGTTGAAAGCAAGAATTTTAGTAGTGAGAATTTCCTCACAAACTTCATTTAAACATTTCTAATTGAAAATTGTTGCATGAAAAGGGACAAACTGAACTAAAAAACAAAAAAGGAAAGAAAAAAAATGATGACCTAGCGGATACTCGCTCGCATCTAATTTGAGGGAGAGCCATGATGCTAATCTTGATGACCTGAAACTTCGAATTGAGATTCTCTTCTATTTTCCATTCCCAAATCACTATTCACCAACTCCAATAAAGAAATAACTGGAAAAGGCTTCAGAAGTGGTTTTTGGCTGGTAAAAAATTGTTGAGACACAAATTTCATTGTTGGCCTAAACCTAGGTTTTGCACGCAAGCAAGCAAAGGCAAGCATAGCAGCAACCACAATATTTTGGGTAACATTTTTGCCTTTTGGAGGAGATAGACGCGTATCTAATATATCACTTAGCATCACAGTTTGCAAGGAAGAGAGTGACGATGACAATGTCAATAGTTCTCCGGGATGCCTTCCCATCAATACTTCTAATGCCACAACTCCAAAGCTATAAACATCACACTTCTCAGTCACAGCCATTGTATAGGCAAGCTCTGAATAGAAAATGCATATAATGTTTAATATGTCAATTCAATAGTAAATAATTAACTAAGATAATAGAGTAATAATGGTGATGGAGAAAACCTGGGGCAATATAACCATATGTGCCAGCAAGTGTGGTATGATTGGAAGAATCTGGATCCAAAAGCCTAGCATTTCCAAAGTCGGAAACAAAAGCCTCCAATTTCGAGTTCAATAGAATGTTGTTGCTTGATATGTCTCTATGAAGGATGGGTGGGATGCAGTCATGGTGAAGATAAGACAAAGCATGCGCTGTGTTTTTTATGACATTTACCCTTTTGTTCCAATCTAGCTCCACAGCTTCTTCGTCATTTCTGAGCACACAAAACAAGCTCCCTCTTTCCATGTATTGATAGATCAAAAACATGCTCCTCCTGTGCAGGCAGAATCCATGAAGCTTCACAATGTTCTTATGTTGTATTTCTATCAATATCCTAACCTCATTCTTGAAACACTTGTCAAAAGTTGGATCCTCTGCTTCCCTTCGATGAAGTTTCTTCAAAGCGACTACTTTGCCATTTGGTAAGAGTGCTCTATAAACACTTCCATAGCCACCAGTACCAATGCAGTATTTGATATCAAAATCCTCAGTCGCTTCAATGATGTCTTCATATGCAACCCTTCCATCAAAGTTCCATATTGAGAATATATCCCCATTTTTTGTTGGCCTTGCATCTGCTTCCTTACTTTTAGCTCCATGAATTCTTTGATAAAGCAACAACAATGCAAGAGATACCAAGGCAAGAGAGATGGTGCTGGTAAGAATAATTTTAAGAGATCTCAACAAGGACTCATGTCTCGATTTTTTGCTGCTTACTTTTCTATGTTCAGTGAAGGAGGGAGAGAGAGGAAGGGAGCTGGAAAGTTGTTCATAATGTAAATCCTTGTTGCCGACAAAAGAGCTTTGAGGGAATTTATAATGCAAGTTACTTGGGACATGACCCGTAAATAAATTATAAGATAAATTAAGTTCCTCTAAAAGAGCTGGCAGATTGGGAACAATGGGGCCAGAGAGATGATTGCAACTGAGATCTAAGGCCACCAAATTTGTTAAACTCCCAAGTTGGAAAGGCATTTCTCCATTGATGGAATTGTGGCTGATATCAATTCGTGAGAGCATAGAGAGTTTGACAATTTGAGGAGGGATACTTCCACTTAAGGAGTTTCTGCTCAACAACAACACTTCTAAGTTCGAGCAATTTCTCACTTGGGTTGGGATTGGTCCACTCAATCTATTTTGGCTGATATCAATTTTTGAGAGCTTAGCAATATTGCCAATCTGAGTAGGGATACTTCCAGTTAAGGAGTTTCTGCTCAGTAACAACACTCGTAATTTCAAGCAATTTCCAACTTGAGTTGGAATTTGTCCACTCAATCTGTTTTGGCTGATATCAATTCCCCAGAGCATAGAGAGATTGCCAATCTGAGGAGGGATACTTCCATTTAAAGAGTTGCGACTCAACGATAAATCAATTAAGTTGGAGCAATACCTAATCTGAGTTGGGATTGGTCCACTCAATCTATTTTGGGAAAGGTTCAAATCTGTCAAAGATTTCAAATTCCCAATATCTCTAGGTATCAAACCTTCTAAAAGATTTGAGTCAAGAACCAAGTACTCCAAATTAGTTAAATGAAACAGAGTGGGAGGGATTGGACCAGTTATTTTGTTCTCCCTAAGGTACAGTAGTTGCAAATTGTTTAGATTTCCTAATTTCGGTGGAATGGAACCCTCCAAACTATTTGAGTCAAGGTACAAATGGTTCAAATTAGACAAGAGACCCAAAGATGCAGGAATTGAACCCCTTAAATTGTTGGCACCAAGATCCAACAAAGTCAAGCTCCTAAGTTTTGCTAGTTCTCGAGGGATGGAACCATTGATTTGATTTCTGTAAAGTCTCAAGTATGTCAAATTTGTCAAGTGACCCAAAGTTGAAGGAAGTTGACCAATGAGTTGGCCATTTTGAATGTGCAGAAAGTCGAGATTCCTTAAATGTCCAAATTCCGGAGGGATACAGCTGTTGAATTTATTCCATCCAAGGGACAAAGCTGACAGATTGGTTAATTGACCTAGAGATGAAGGGATCGGGCCAACAAGCATGTTTTTGTGTAGAGACAAATAAACTAAATTGGCTAATTGACCAAGGGAGGAGGGTATAGGAGCAGAAAGGTTGTTTTCAGATAGATCCAAGGTAACTAATTTAGTTAATTGACCAAGGGAGGAAGGTACAGGACCATCAAGCTTGTTTCCAGATAGATCCAAGGTAACTAATTTGGTTAATTGACCAAGGGACAAAGGTATAGGACCATCAAGCTTGCTTCCAGATAGATCGAAGATAACTAATTTGGTTAATTGACCATCGAGCTTGCTTCCAGATAGATCCAAGGTAACTAATTTGGTTAATTGGCCAAGGGAAGAAGGTATAGGACCAACAAAAAGGTTTCCAGACAAATCTAAAGTAACCAAATTCTTTAGCTTTCCGATTTCTGAAGGAATGGATCCATTGATACTGTTTTGTGAAAGAGACAAAGACACCAGTTGGGTTAAACTACTGATACGAGAAGAGATGGGACCGATTAGTTGGCAATAGCTCAGGTCTAAGTCTATGAGATTTTTCAGGTTCCATATTTCTGGAGGGATGCTACAAAGAAAAGGATTTGAGGCCAAGTGCAAGTATGCAAGATTGGTCAAATGGCCTAGAGTTGGAGGAATCGATCCCACAAAGTAATTCCTAGTCAAATTCAAGGAGACAAGATTCTTCAAACCCTCTAGTTCTGTGGGGATGGAATCAATTTCATTGAAAGAAATGTCAAGCACCATTAATTGAGTGAGATTTCCAAGTGATGAAGGTAACGCACCTGTTAGATTATTATTGGACAGATTTAGGTGCTTGAGACTTGAAAGAGCACCAATTTGAGGTGGGATGCTCCCCTCCATTCCTAGACTGCTGAGATCAAGCCAAACAAGATTGGGGAGGGAAGAAAAGTTCATATTTCCAAACTTTTCAGTCACATTGAGATAATCTGATGAATGAATCTCGGTGACGCTTCCAGTACCGTCGCATGTTACACCAGGCCAGCTGCAATGATGTGCAGATTTAGCGGGATAGTCACTCCACCACCCACTTTTTAGAAGAGCTTCTGCTTCTGATCCCTGAGATTTTGGCTCCAGAGTTGCCCTTGCCCCAAGTCTAGTGCCAAAACCAATTGTACAGTAGAAAAAGAAGGTAGCCCATGTTAGTAACTCCATGGAGCTGCTAATATTATAAAAATGAAATGTTAAGTTTGATTTATCAGTTAAATATAGAAGAGTTATTTATTTATTTTAATTTTGTGAGTGAAAGGTCAAGGTCTATACCGTCCTTCTTAGGCAATTCATTTTCCAGGCAACCACTTTCCTAGTTCGATGAGACTAGAGAGAGTGGTCACAATAGTTTTCCACAAACACTGTGCATATTGGTATCAATCAAGCTGGACTGAATGGATGTTGGATGAAACTTCTTTTGATTGCAGAAATTAAGCTTGATTAGGACTTCAATTTTGGTTTGAAATTGAAGACTTTGTATCGACGAATGAAGATTGAAGAAGCCAGAGTCTTCAATTCTTTTGTAGTCGGCTTAATTTTCTTCTCAGTAGCAGCCATGAAATTGCCTATCGTTGGACCAAAAAGACTACCATATTGGTCTTTGCATACTTTTCTCAATGGATTGGCTTAATTTTCTTCTCAGTAAGCACCCATGAAATTGCCTTTTGGGGGACCAAAAAGACTACCATATTGGTCTTTGCATACTTTTCTCAATGGATCCAATCCTTTGATAACATCTTTAGATAACTACTAATCTTTTGATCCATTCCACTTCCACAGCTTCAACAACATTTTTTAGGACACAGGAAAGGCCTCTTCTTCCCATGTATTCATAGATCAAAAACATACATCGCCTTCAAAGACAAAACCCATGAACTTCACAATATTCTTGCGCCTTATTTCTGTCAGCATTTTTTGACTTATTCCTGAAACCCTCGTCGAAAGCACCACCTATTGCTTCTCCGCCATAAAGTCTTTTCATGGCGACTACTGCTGAAATTTGTGGTGGTAAAAAGGGGGGATTGAGAGAGGACTTGGAGGAGGAGAAACATCCGGAGTTCCCTCTTTCGGTGAGGTCAGAACTCATTTTCTTCCATAAACAACACAACATAACATAGAACATAAAGCCATAAACATGGAAGGGTGTAGGCATTCACCCAACCGGAGAGAAGAAACCATGCTTTCTCTTTCTCTCAATTCTCATTCAATTTCTTCCTTCTTTTTATAGAAAAAGGCTACACATAGAACAATATAATTTTTCTACCTAGTACAATAATTATTAACTACCTAAAACATTGACTAAAATAAAGTTTTCTGTCATTTCTGGTTGCCCATGTGAAGCTCCATGCTGTTGTCATTTTGCTGTTACTGTGCAGTCATGTTGCAGCATCATTTAGTAGATCTCATTCTATTGAATTTTGAGCTTTCATGCCATAGCTCCAACAACTACCATGCTATTGAAGGCACAATCAACCACCGTAATCAAGGAAATGAAGGAGAAAAGCAAAAGGTGGAAATCAAGGAAATTATTACCAAAGAAAGAGCACAAGTCAGCAACGGTCGAGAAGCCAGCAACAGTCGAGAGCAAGTCAGAAGAGCAATCCAAGGAAATAATACAAAGAAAGAATAGGAAAGGATCTCAAAGCTAATCAAAATATGGCCGTTGTACATAAATGCATTCTTTATATTGGTAATCTTGACTTAATGTCAATGATTCCTGAAATCATGCTATATGTAATCTGTAAATAATATAAATAGTGAACAATCCTCTTTCTCTTCTCAGCAAAGTAGAGATTGAAAGAAGATAGGGATTGTAAAGGACAAAACCTGGGGCAATATAGCCATAAGTGCCAGCAAGCATGGTATGATTGGATGAATCAGGGTCCAAAAGCCTAGCATTTCCAAAGTCAGAAACAAGAGCCTTCAATTCTAAGTTCAAAAGAATGTTGTTGGATGATATGTCTTGATGAAGAATAGGTGGGATGCAATCATGGTGAAGGTAAGATAAAGCATGTGCAGTATTTTTTATGACATACACCCACCCTTTTGTTCCAATCCAGCTCCACAGCTTCTTCATCATTTCTGAGCACACAAAGCAAGCTTCCTTTTTCCATGTATTCATAGATGAGAAACATGGATCGCCTATGTAAACAAAATCCATAAAGCTTCACAATGTTCCTATGTCGTAGTTTTGACAGCATCTTAATCTCATTCCTGAAACTCTTGTCAAAAGCAGGCTCCTCTGCTTCCCTTCGATGAAGTTTCTTCAAAGCGACTACTTTACCATTTGGCAACTGTACTCTATAAACACTGCCATAGCCACCTGTTCCAATGCAATATTTGATGTCAAAATCCTCAGTTGCTTCAATGATGTCTTCATATGCAACCTTTCCATCAAAGTTCCATATTGAGAAAATATCCCCATTTTTCCTTGGACTTGAATCTACCTCTTTACTCTTAGCTTTATTTATTCTTCGAGCAAGCAACAATGATGCCAGAAATACTATCGAGGCAAGAGAAAAGGTGCTTGGAAGAATAATTTTAACACGCTTCAATGCCTGGTTGCTTGTTTTTATTTTTGGGCTTTTATTGTGTTCTTATTGGGCTTTTAACCAATGTTGGGCTATTTCCCCAACACCTACCATATCTGTATTTGCTTAGTTTTCTCAGCTTACTTTTCTCAATTGAGATCCAATCCTTTGATGTCACGTTCATTGACTGAAAGAGGAAGAATGTCACATTGATTGCCCGTTTCTTAAGGAAACTTCGACAACTTTGCTTGTGAATGTATTCTATAGGTCAACTGACCTAAATTTGGTGTTGATTTTTCTTGATTCTTTACCTCTTGCTGTAACAAAATACTACCAGTTTACAATGCAGCTGTGAGATAAAGATCTTTAATTCTATTAACTGAAGAACATAGATGAGTAGATCCGCTATTTAAGCTCCTTATTCACAATCAAATGAATAAATGGATTTTGAAGTAACTTTGAAACAACATTAATTCTCCATTTAGGTTGCCAAAATAGTTTCTGATATCTCATAGATTCATTAACTGATCAATGTGTATAAAAGAAGTAAAAATATATCACACACATATGTCTAGGTACTCCTTTAAAAACGAAAGGAGGAAATTGCTTTATTGGTTCACTTACCAAAACAAGATAGCTTCTCGATTCACAGTCACAGAGTTAGACATCAAGGATATCATTTGAAGAAGACCCATGATAATCGTCAGGATGACCTGAAACTTCTAGTTGAGATTCTCTTCCATTCTCCCTTGGCCAATTCACTATTCGCCAGCTCCAATAGAGAAATGGCTGGAAAAGACTTCAAAAGTTGTCTTTGGCAGGCAACAAAAGTGTTGAGACACATATTTCATCGTTGGCTTGGATTTAGATTTGCACGCAAACAAGCAAATTCAAGTGTAGCAGCAACCACAGTATTTTGAACAAAATTGTTGCTTTGAGGCTTTTATGTCACTTAGCATCACATTTTGCAAAGAAGCCGGTGATGATGAAAATGTCAGTAGAAACAAAATCAGAAACAAAAACCTATATGTTGACGCATGATATGTCCCAATAGAAAGGATTCGTAGGATGCAGTAATGATCAAGATAAGACCTCATTTAAGACACCATTCGGAATGGGTACCCTGTGCTGCCGAGAAAAAGCTTAGAGACAACATACGCGTTGGAGGCTGCATTGCACTTAAATACCTGATGAATTTCCGCGACATTACAACTAGCATGATCAAGAATACCAGGTTTGGAGTGCATTAAAAATTAAAAGACTACGAGTCTTTCCTTCTGATACAGTTATGGCTTTTCTTCAAGAGATCTAATATAAACTCCCAGAACTTCAATAGGGGTCATCTTGGAACGGGCCTCTCTCCACGAAGTGTGACACCTCCCTTCTCTTGCAGTCGACCAGTGGCGGGGCCAGAAAATGAATTTTATGAGGATGAAACCATTTTTCCTGAAAGTACTCATGCTCTCAGAAAATAAATAAAATTTTTTCCAAATAATATGAACTCACTACAATAAGGATGAGAACCTAAAGAAATAGTTCAGAATCTCTCTAGATTTCGAACGCAGATACTGCAATTTAAGAACTAGGGTTTGGTTTGGAGTCAGGCAATTTGGGGAAAAGCTTTGCTCATCATAATGTGGGACGAAACAAAGAAACTATCATAATTTTACCATACAAGGAGTCGAATTTTCAATTTTTCTAATCAAAGAGTTAAACTTCTCAATTTTATTATACAAGGAGTCTTCTCTTCTCTCCTCATCATCAAATTCTTTTGTAAGCCTACATTCAAAACAAAAAAATATATATTCTATTGTTTTTTTTTTAAAAATAATTTTGACAAAGTTAAAAAAAATTTTATATGAAATAAAATCAAACAAAAATCATACAAAAATTTTCCTTATAAAAGAAAAATGAAAGTGCATGAGGTGAAAAAAATTAAAAATAATAAGAATAAATAATGAATAATGAATAAAAATGTTATAAATAATGATGAATAAAATTATAATCTTATGTTTTTATTCTTTATAAAAATTAGGGTATCTATTCATCTTCTTTTAGTTTAATTCATTATATATGTAATAAAAATTAATAATGATAAAATAATTAATAATATTATGAAAATAAGTGGAAGAACAGATAGGAAAATAGAAAGGTAAAACTAAAATTATTAATACATATATTAATTATATTTTATTGTAAAATTAGTATATATTCTTTTTTTATTTTGACAAAATATTTTTTTATAATTAAAATAAAAATAATAAATTTATTGTGTGGGTAAAGCTTGGGGGTAGAATTTTATATAATATATAGATAGATACAAAGATTTAGATAGATAGATATAGATATCGATAGTTTAATATAGATTTATTCTCTTAATATTTTGAAAAAACTATGTTAATTACTACTAACTTTTATAGATTTTTTTAAAAAGATTATAAATTAGAAATTTTAACACACAAATTATATATATATGTGTGTAAATATATATACACCTAGAAAAAATATGGACTGCTTTTAAAGAAAAAACATAAAAGCTTTTTTGGTATTTTTCATTTGCTTTTGAGTGGGCTATTACATTTTCTTGCCTTTCTAGGTTTTGTACCTCATCTTGTCCCTAAGTTTTTATGATAGCATAGCATGATATTTATGGTTTTTTTTTTTTTTTTTTTTAAATTTGGTGCCTCTCCCTCCTTTAGAATCATCAAAA